TCCTCCAATCCATACCGGAATTGCAGGTTTTCAGGCCTAGTCTCCCAGCCAGGAACGGATCCCAGGCTGCAGGGGCAGCGCTGAGTCCCAGTCACAGGTTGGTGAAGCCACAGCAGGACCTGCACAGACGCTCAGGCAAGCAAGGGAGAAGAGGCAGCTTTGTTTAGAGAAAGAAAAAGCTTGTTGAGAAGAAAAGGGACAGAATAAAGTGGGAGTCCCAGGCGGGTGCAGCCAGGCCAAGGTGGGGAAGGAAGCCGAAGTGGAGCGGTGCCTCCGGGAATATACACCTTTTACCCTAGTTGTTTCAGGTCTCCACCAGTCTCTCTGTGACTGGTTAGTTCCCGGTGGTCTCACTCACTGCCTAAATGTCTCTGTGCCCAGAACTAAGTCTCCGCGTCCCAGCCCTCATCTTTCTTCTTCATTGTCCTCTATTTGGAATGTCCTGTTGACCTTAGTCCTGGGGTGTTTGATTCGTCCCCTTTGGACTTTGTTGCCCTCATCTCTGGAGCCTTCCTTGACTCTCCTGAAGTCCCTGCACTGCCCTGGAGGCTGCTTGATTATCCCTAACTTGCCCTACGTTTCACTTGGGTTTCGTCTGAGAAAAGTTTCACCGGAGTTCCCCTTTCAGCAGCTTTCAGGCAGTTTCCGCATGAGACAAAGACATTCAGTTATATCCAAGAGGGCAGGTTTGTTATAAGGACACTTGTGAAGTTGGTTTTGGGGATGTTGGGTTCGGAGAGCGGGGTCCTTGGGTTGTCTCTGGGAAACGCTTCACCAGAGCTCCCTTTCAGTGGCATGTGGTGAGATTCCCTGGCAAATTTCTCCACAAGACCGAGAAGTGGGTTATATCCAAAAGGGCAGGTTTATTTAAAAGGGAGAGAGGAATAAAGGACACTTGCATAGAGTCAAGTGGGCAGAAAGGCTGCCCTGGCAAGGGACAGGTTTGTTAGGAGACGCCTCTATAGTCACAGGCGGCAGCCTTGGGAGGAGCGGCCTCTGCTGCTTTGCAATGGGAGGTCAGTGCAGAGAAGCACCGGCATGACCATGGGTCACAGGCACGCAGGAGGGCTGCTGTCCCTTGCCAGTGCAGAGCTATAAATATATAGCTATACATGTGTGTATGTGTGTGTGTGTGTGTAGATATATATATGTGTGTATATATATATATATCATATATATATATATATATATATATGATATGATTGGTATTCTCTTTGGGAGGGGTTCTTTTTTTTGTGGCATTGTTAACTGTTGTTAAATTAATTATTTCTAGGGTTAGCACCTAAGGGTTTTTTTCTATATTTTGTTTGAAAGGACCAGTGATTCTTTCCAATGGTCCTCAATCTCTATATCCCCACATCTGGATACATTTCTATAGTTTAATGACTATGTTAATCATTTCTACCCCCACCTCCAGTTTCTGGTCTTATAATGCCTCCTTCCCAATTTTTTTACTCTTATCCTCTATCAGTATTGCTCATCCAGAAAGAGAGCTCAGCTGAGAGATCAGGAGTAAGTAGGAAGAATTTCCATAAGGACATCTTTACAACTTTTAACTTTCAAAAGTATTTACTTGATGGTGTTAATGTATAAATATGTCAGAAAAAGTAGTATAACAAGATCCTAAGTCCCCGAGGAAGGGCAGTTAGTTTAGGGGAGCCAATGTACTTCTTCCTGTGTTGTGGATCTGCTATTCCTAAATGGTCTGTTTGGCCACCATTTTGTCACCTGTAGTTCTAAATCAACAGCAAGGGCAAAATGGCCCAGTCAGTGGACCTCCCTAGTGGCGCAAGGGGTTAAGAACCACACTATGAAGCAATCTGCAGCCTCAGCCAGTCAGGGAGCTACCCACATAGCGCAGCAGACCTCTCCTGTCTTGCCCGCTGCTCCCCTCAGCAGTGTATTTCGTCAGTCTGCCTGTTCTGTTCCCCACTTTATCTCTGGTGAATTCCCTCACGCCCCACATCTCTGGCCTGTACCTCAGATCTTGTATGCATAAATCAATAAATCTTTTAAAAAAATAAAATGGGCCAGTCAGTTAAGTATAGGAGCCCAACTCTGCAAGGTGCCCTCAAATCAAATAAAAGCACAAAGCTGGATCATGCTGGGAAGACTATGTCTCCCAAGGTATGACCAGGAATGCCAGAGGGTTGGGGGGAGGGCTGAGGACCAATGTATAAAAAGGGACCCCAGAAGCTGATAAGTGGAAGGCCTTGTTGATAAGATTAAAACCATGGCTGGAAACTAGGGTGTGATCTCAATGACAATACCTAGTCATCAAGCAGATAAGAAGTGCCTGGAGGGCACACTCACAATCCCTGATTTTCTACATTCTTCCCCTTTCTTTAATCTCCTTCCCCTTTCCTTTTTCTCCTCCCCTTACAACCTGTGCTGTGTATCAATAAAAAGGCCAGGATCTTGCTCTTTAGCAGCATCCTGCATTATGTAGCCTGCTCCACAACTCCCGTTTCTTTATCAGTGTGGTGTTGCCCAATGCAACACTGTGTAAGCTGCAGCTATTAGCGGGCAGCATGAAGGGTATCTGATCATACTGAACAGTGTCCTCAGTTTCCCCCAGCTAATAAAAGGAAACAGTTTGAGGAGATGGAAAGTAGTTTAATTTGTGGGCAAAAGAGGAGGGCAGAAGGCTCGAGTCTGAAAGACCACAGTCCTGCTCTTTGGCAGAGGGCAGGGGTATTTATACAAGTAGTAAAACAAAGGGGTGAAAGGAAAGGTCAGCTTGTCCTTTTGATGCAGGTATATGGAGATTTCCGGTGGGTGCAAGCTTGCTTTGTTAATACCTGGTGTTTTACTTCCTTATTATCTTCTTTGGAATGTCCTTCTTTTTGCTGAGACTGCAAGAAGACAACTTGTTAAATGCAAAGGGTAAGAATACTTATCTGATCAGGCAGGAAAAGAGACCTGTCTTTTTCACTGCATCACCCCAACCCACCCCACCCCTGCTTTCTGGGACCTGCTTCAGAACAGTTTTTCTGTGGTTCCCTGCCTGAAGGTGCTTTAGATCTTTGGCACGGTTTGGGGCCTCAGTGGCCCCACTTTAAGTCAACCTTGTCTGGACATTTACCATTAGTGGCTGGATAATTTTGTTTTGAAAATTTCTTTTCTCGCCCTCTGCACACTAAAGGTTTGCTTTGCCTTTGTGTGTACATGATACTGTTTTTGCAGTTGTTGGGTTGGGAGTGCGGGGCTCTTGGGTTCACTCTGGCGAAGGTGTCACCAGAGCTCCCCTTTCAGTGGCTTGCGGCGAGTTTCAAAGGTGAGTTACTCCATGAGACAGTGATGTTAGTTATATTTAAAGAGCAGGTATATTATAAAAGGGAGAGAAGAATAAAGGACACTTACATAGACACACAAGGGAAGTAAGTGCTACCCCAAAAGAGACGGGTTTGCTAAGACAGAGCCCTGCATGGTTGCAGACAGGCAGCCTTGAGGAGAGCTGCCTCTGCTGAGGGAGGTCAGTACAGAGAAGCCCTGGCAGGTACAGGTCATGGGCAGGCAGGAAGCTGCTGCCCTGCAGAGGGAGAGAGTTGTCCAAAAGGAGCTCCTGCATAGTCAGGGGTGGGCAGGGGAATTGCTGCCCCAGCCAGTGCAGAGACTGCCCTGATAAAGTCTTCTCTCTGGGAAGGGTCACTCTTTCCTGGAGTGGTTTGTTTGTTGTTGACTTGGAATAAACTATGTAGAATTTGAAAGTGGACAGATTTCTACAAGGACCCTCAATCTCCATATGTTTACCTTTAGGTCTGCTCTGATGACACCCCCTACAGCATCTGATACCTGCTTAGGTCTTATGCTTTGTGATCTAGGCTTTGGCTCCTAAGGATCTTAGCTCCCATAGCTGGATTAATGGCTGGGTTAATCCCTTCTACTCCCACGGCCAGCTCTTGGTTTTGTCAGCCAGGTTCTGATCTTGTGGGTTTCCTTTCCACTTTTTTCTATGCTTATCCTCCATCATATGGATGACTAGATCCCTTTAGAAAGTAGAATTCTGGGGGATCCCAAGATACCCCTAGGTTGTGCACTCACAATGCAACAGAAGTTGCAAGAAAATTGTGTTAAATTGTTACCAGTTCTGTAGGGTCTTTGTCTGGTTTCCTCCAATCCATTGTACATAAATCTTGAAGAGACAGTAACTTGCGTCAAGTGAGGAACATTTATTGTGGTCACACTAGAAGAGGGCAGGCAGCAGCCACCCTGAGCCACACTCCCTAGTTGAGAGCATCGAGGATCCTGCTTTATGAGGCTCATCATCATACTGGGGGAAGTGGGGAAGTAGGGTATTGGCTTGCCTTGGGTTTTCAAGCTTGGGTTTCAGGGCCTTTAAGCACCCATAGATGCTTTATCTGGTCTCACATTAACACCCTCCTATGACAAGGGAAAGTGCATCTCAGCTGTTTAGGTTTTCAGCAACAGGAAGGTAACAAACAAGGACCAGGTTCCATGGGCCCTGTAATGACATTATTATGCAAAGTATATTTTACCCATCACCAAGTGAAGAGATAAGGATCAAGTCCCTTGGAGGCCGGGAACTCTGCTTCCTTGTTTCTTTCCCCCTTTTTTTTTTTTTTTTTTTGAAGATTTCTTTATTATGCATACAAGAATTCTGGGGTACAGGTCAGAGGTGAGGGGGTGAGAGGATTCACCGAACAGAGTGGGGGGCAGAACAGGAGGATCTACAAAAATATAGGGCTGAGGAGAGCAGTGGGTGCGACAGGAGATGTCTGCTACACTATGTGGGTAGCTGCCTGGGCCTGAGATCAAATTCATGCTGCAGTGGCTGCAGATGGCTTCATAGTGCTGTGCTTAACCCCTTGCAACACAAGGGAAGACCTCCCTTATTTTTTTCTTAAATATTTTATTTTAGCCTATCCTGTTTTCTATATAATTAGAATTGTATCCTGGTTTTCTCATTAGTTCCAATACAGCCTTCTCAAATATACAAGAATCTGGGAGCAAGAGACTCAAGCCAGGATAGCGAGCAGCAAGAGCAATGGCTATGGCATCAAAAATCTTAGTGAATATCAAGGAGGAGGTGACCTGCCCCATCTGCCTGGACCTCTTGAAAGAGCCCCTAAGCCTAGACTGTGGCCACAGCTTCTGCCGAGCCTGCATCACTGCAAACAACAAGGAGTCCGCGGCAACCCAGGAAGAGAAGAGCAGCTGCCCTGTGTGCAGAATCAGTTACGAGCCTGGGCACCTGCGGCCTAATCGGCATCTGGCCAACATAGTGGAGCAACTCAGAGGAGTCAAGTTGAGCCCAGAGGAGGAGCAGAAGAAAGAGCTCTGTGTGCGCCATGGAGAGAAACTCCTGCTCTTCTGTAAGCAGGATGAGAATGTCATTTGCCCTATTTGTGAGCGGTCTCAGGAGCACCGTGGTCACCAGACCTTCCTCATTGAGGAGATTGTCCAGGAGTACCAGGTAGGAGAGCAGAATGCAGTTAAAACAGCAGAATATAGTACTTGATGGGAAATCTCCATTTAATTGCCTAGTCACCATAGTTCAGAAGTCTGTGATCTCCTTCTTCCTATGGTGTTGATACAGGGGAAAATTTCCTCACTCCTCTAAGTTCTGGGGCTGGATGAGCAACGAGATTAACTTCAGACAGATTAGAAGGAGAAAAAGACCACACTTAATAATGTCCACATGAAAAATTTACATGACTGTAAATACTGAAATTAAACAGGACAGATCTATTATTTATTTATTTATTCATTCATTTAGTTATTTATTTTTAAAGGATTTATTTATTTGGGCCTCCCTGGTGGTGGCGCAGGCAGTTGAGCACTGCAATGTTAAATTGTCCACAGCCTCTGCAGTGCAGGTTTGATCCTGGCCACCCCACGAGAATCCCACATGGCGAAACAGAACTCTCCTGTCTCACCCGCTGCTCCCCTTATTAGTGTATTTCCTCAGTCTGCCTGTTATGTTCCCCATTCTGTCTCTGGTGAGTCCTCTCACCCTTTTGCTCATCTGGCCTGTACACCTGTTCTTATATAAATAAATATTTATGCAGTTTCCGGACTCCAAGGACTGGGGTACAAACCAGAGGTGCAGGGGTGAGAGGATTCACCAAAGACAGGTTTGAGAGCAGAAAAGGCAGACCTACTGAAATACTCTGCTGAGGGGAACAGCAGGTGAGACAGGAGAGGTCTGCTGCACCATGTGGGTGACCTCCCTGGCAGGGGATCAAACTCTGGCCTGGCCGCAGTGGCTGGGGATGACTTGATAGCACTGAGACTTTAACCCCTGTGCCACGAGGGAGGCCCAGATCCAGTATTTATAACCTGTGTTAAGGATGGGTTAGGAGCCTGTGGTGTCAAGGAGGGAGGAGGAGGTCTCCTAGAGCAGGAGGGGACAATTTCATATGATAGAACCTTGCCTTTAGATATTTGCCTTGCCTTGAGATAGATTTTTCCCATGAAAAGTTTTTTTCTAGAGGCCTCCCTGGTGGAGTAGGTGTTTAAGTCTCAGCCCTATCATCACAATGGTCTGAGTTCGATCATGGGCCGGGGAGCTGACCCACACATGGCACAGCAGACTTCTGTCTCGCCCACTGCTCCCCTCAGCAGTGTATTTCAGCAGATTCTCCTGTTCTGCTCCCCACTGTTTCTGGTGAATGCTCTCACTCCCTTCACCTTTGGCCTACACCCCAGTTCTTCTGTGCTTAAATAAATAAATAAATAAATAAATAAATAAATAAATAAAATCTTAAAAAAATAGTTTATTTTAGAGTTGTTGCTAAGTATAGGTAATCTCTTTTTAAAAAAAAAAAAGATTTATTTTTATTTATACAAGAGCTGGGGTACAGGCCAGAATCACAGGAGGGTGAGAGTATTCACCACAGACCGGGGAGCAGAACAGGCAGACAGTTGGAAGGCACTGATGAAGGGAGCAGCAGGCGAGACAGGAGAGGTCTGCCGCGCCATGTGGCTATCTCCCTGGCTGGCCAGGAATTGAACTGGCGCTGCGGAGTCTGTGGACAGCTTCACAGTGTGGCGTTCAACCCGCTGCGCCACCAGGGAGGCCCAGTCTAGGTAATCTCTTTAAATAAGAAAATACTTCCTCCTCAGACTCACAAAAATTTGATTTACCTTAGTTCTACCTAATAAAAGGGCACAAATTGAATTTTTCCAGCTTGAAAAGCCTATCTAAACCTTTTGGGGCACAGAAACACTAGGCTCACCTTCCAAGGTCTAGAGGACAATTCTGTGCCTCCAGCCTGATTACAAAAGTCTTATAGTTGTTAGGGGGAAAGGATGTAACATAGTCAGAAGTAGATGTTTTTGAACCATAGGTTAAATTGGGGGGGCAGTTAGAACCCATGAAAATCCATCATTCCCTTTGCACATGAAGTGTAACTGAGGGACTGGGTGGATTGAGATTTTGTTTCTTTGCTGCAGGATCAAATTTCTCCTCTAGGACAAATAGAATCATCTTGTCTTGGGGAAGGGATGGTGACTTCTCTCACACTTCTGCCTGAGACTTAATACGGTCACACTTCAGATTTTCTTCTAAGTCGAAGGTTCTCATTGATATTTTCAGTTTCTGTGACTCTTATGTTTCGAGATCATCTGATTACTTCCTCCATGACCTGTATTCAGATGTTGAGAAAGCCCATTGCTTGACTCTGGCTTGATTCCCCTCTCACAGGACAAGTTCCAGGGCGCCCTGGAGCAGATGTGGGAAAAGCTGCAGAAAGCTGGACATTTGGAAGCTCAAGTCAAAGAAAGGACAACTTCCTGGAAGGTAGGAGGAGGCTCTTTCTGAGGGATTTAGACAGAAATCTGGTAGAATTTGGGTGATAACACAAGGAACTTCCTACCTTTTTGTTATCGGATCATTAACAAATCCCAGTTAATGATTATCCTTTTGATAATCCTTCTCTTCATCATTTCCCTGATGGAGGAGGGGATTGAAAAGTGAACCTGGCACAGGTGGATGGGTCTTTGGAGGGAAGGTTCATGTGGAGGACACTGGCCAGGACGGCAGTGCAGTCCCTGTTCCATTCCCATCATGTGTTTGAGTCTTTGACTCTCCTGGGGGAAGCTGTTCGGCCATGGCTCCTGGTTCTGGGCCAGTGTGCCACTTGGGCAGAGGGTGAGTGGTGCGGTCAGGAGTAGTCCAGCTGTGTGAACATGGAGACATACCCAGTTGCTCTGTTTGGCTCAGGGTTGGACTCAGTGCTGCAGACGTGAGGGAATTATTTTGGAATACAATAGAGGGGAAGTAATAGGTGAAGAGCATCTTTAAGAATTGTTCTCTTGCTCTGTCTCACTTTGCTGTGAGAACTTTCCATTTACAGTGGTGCTAGTGCTGGTTCCTAGTCTCTGCCTGATGGGTTGAGTACCGCCTCTCTCTCTTTTCTCCTTCCTAAGAATCAAATTCAAAAGGACAGACAAGGTGTCCAGGCAGAGTTTGCAAAGCTGAGAGGTCTTATGGACTTGGCAGAGCAGACGGAGCTGCAACAACTGAATATGGAGGAAGAAGTCATTCTCCATAAACTGGCAGAGGATGAAAATGAACTCATTCAGCAGAGCCAGTTGATAGAAGATCTCATCTCAGATCTGGAGCATCGATTGCAAGTGTCAAATGTAGAGAAGCTGCAGGTAAGACCTCAAAAGAAACCCCAGTGTCTGAGACATGAGAACAATGAGGGCAGATTTCCCTCCCCTTCTGTATTGCTGGCTCTTTCTGGTGTGACACTAAGGTTCTTCTGCTCTGCAGTGTGTTTCCCTACACATTCATTTTTTATTAGTGCATCAAGTGCAATGTGAAAGCATGAGTTTGGAGAGAAGATGCATTTTATTCAGGTGTGTTGGATATCCCTCTGTTATTACGTGCTAGTGTTACACATTTATTAGTTAAATCGAGTGATCCAACTTAGCCCAGTTAAACAAATGCACTTCAGATTCTAACAGGCTTTTTTTTTTCCCCCTCATAGATTGAATTGAGATTTTTCCTCTTGTCTTTCTATTTTCTGAGAAGAATTAATGAAGTCCTGGTATTTATTTTTAATTTTTCAATAGAATCACAAATGATATCTCATTCTGGCCCTTTTTATATGAAAGGGTACATATATGTATATATAATTATAGATGTATATAACTAAATATATATAATTTACTTGTTTAGATTTTTTTAATAATTTTTGTGTCAGTTTTTGGCAATGTGTGTCTTCATAGGAGTTTGTCTAAGTTGTGTGCTTTGTAGAATGCAAAGATACTCATAATAATTCTTTATCATCCCTTCAATTCCTACAATATTCACTGTAATGTCCCCTTGATACCAAGCAAAACCAAGGGGCTTCACAGGGACTCCAAACTCAAAAGAGGATTAACCCATGTTGTCTATTCTAGGGGTTCTTGTTACCTGGTCCATAAAAGCAAAGCAACAAATAGTGTGCTGAAATGGTTTTAATTGGTTTGCCAAAGTGCTGGAAGGCAAAAGAGAACAGCAGGTATAGAAGGGAGGCAGCTCAAAGCCCCTTAAGCAGCAAAAGTGCCAGAAGTAGCAAAAGCAGCAATCTGAAGTAGACACCCCTCAAAAAAAAAAAAAAAAAAACAGTAGCACCTCCATGAGCAGGAATGGCACCCCTCCTTCATTTTTTTTAAAGATTTATTTATTCACACATACAAGAACTGAGGTACAGGCCAGATATAAGGGAGGGTGAGAGGATTTACCAGAGACAGAGCAGGGGACAGAACAGGTATACTGACTGAAATACACTGAAGCAGCGGGCGAGGCAGGAGAGGTCTGCCGCGCCATGTGGGTTTCTCCCTGGCTGGCCAGGAATCAAACCCTCACTGCAGAGGCTGCGGACAGCTTCACAGAGTGGCGCTCAACATTCTGTGCCACTGGGGAGGGCCAGATTCTGTTACTTTTCTAATGAATATATTAATCTGCAATTTAGAGAAAAAATCAAGTGAAAATAGGCAATCAACTGCACATATGTGTGTGTAAAATTCAAGGGAATAGATAAAGTCATTTTAGAGAGAGTTTAACATGAGGAGAGAGAGACAGGAAAAGCACCTACATTAATTGTGTTGTGCATCCTCATAAAAAGTCATGCAAACTTCTTGAAGAATATTATAATTTTTTAAATTCTCTTAAGCCTGGCATAATGCTTGACAAATAGTAGCACATACATTCCATTTCTGCTGAATACATAAAGGCCCAATAATTATTCAGTCATCTCAGAGGGAGTCTGCATTTGGGGAATAAAATTATGGGTTTCTCGTTTTCCTTATCAGTATGTCTCATCTCCAGATACATACTTGACTTCCACAAGAGTCAAAACTGTTTCTACCTTTTGGGAAACCTGACAGCATCACATGAGTTCTGGAATGTCCGACTATGTCTTGTCTTTGCATTTGTCTCTGACAGTGGGACCAACTCTACCCCACCTAATCAGGGGGCTGAGGAGATGTGACGAGGCCTTATAAATGGGGAGAACCTATTACTTGTTGACTCATGATTTTCTTTAATTAATTTATTTTTTTTTTATTTTTCTCCTAGAATGTGACTGACATCATGCAAAGGTATGTGTGGGAGGCCAGCGATGGTCTTTTTGTGCTGTGGAGAGATGATTAATGCTTTTTTTTGAGTAATCTGGTGTTCACTAACAATGAGGCATCATTGTGGGCAGGGAAATATGGGTATACATTTGTCTTAAATTTCTGTTTATAAAAAATAGATTGAGAATGGACCAGATACTACAGAAAGGAATGGGGATGGTAGAAAGCTGACAAGTTTGGGTCAGTAGTAGCTTTAAAGATAAAGCATTTGACAAATGGCCAATGGGCATATGAAAAAATGTTCAACATTGCTAGTTACCAGGGAAATCCAAATCAAAACCGCAATGAGATGCCACCTCACTCTAGTGTGAATGGCCCACACCAAAAAAACCACCTAAGAAGCAAAAATGGAAACAACAAATGCTGGAGAGGATGTGGAGATAAAAGAACACTCTTACACTGCTGGGGTGGGGGGATTGTAAACTGGTCCAGCCTCTATCGAAAGCTGTGTGGAGTTTCCTGAGAACACTGAAAACTTATCTCCATATGATCCAGCAATCCCACTCCCAGGAAACTACCCAAAGAACACAAAAACACTAATTTGAAAGAAAAACTGCACTCCTATGTTTATTGCACAGTATTTACAACAGCCAAGATATGGAAACAACCCAAATAACCCAAAATAGATGAATGGATCAAAAAGTGTGGCATATTTATACAATGGACTATTATTCAGCGATCAAACCAGACAAACATACTACTGTTTACAGCAATTTAGATGGAGCTGGAAAAGGATTATACTAGCCAACATTAGTCAGAAGGAAAAAGATAAAAACCGATGGTCTCAGTTATGTGTGGAATGTAGAGAAACCAAATGAAGGTGGAGAAAAAGTCAAAACTAGCAAGCTGACCATAGATCTGAGGCATACAACAAAGGAGGATGAGGGAAGGGGGTCAAAACAGGAGAGGGGAAGAGCACAAGGGGATATGGTGACAGTTCACAAGTGATACAGGGGGTGGGAGGACTATGGGAACTACAATGATATAAGAATAAATTTAATCACTAAAAAAAAAATCAAGCCTTTGTGTTATCAGACCTCTGTGACTTCATAAATTTTATTCACTCTGTGTGCTTCTATCTAGGGTTCTTGCATATCACAGGTGCTTGACTTTTATAGGGAGAAGCCGAGATCTTTTTCTGCCAAGCACCCAGAATTAGCAACAATACCTTTATATTAAATTTCACAGAGTAGAACAAGTCATTCTATAAAGTTCTGCATAGATTCCAAAAATAGATTTTAATCTCATGGGATATTTGGGCCCTGCTGTAAGAAAGTGGTTCATCTCCTCACACACTCTGGCCCCAAGTATCAAGAGGCAGCATCTTACTTTAAATTCATACCTACCTCACAGCATCGACCTCTTTCTGAACACATAAAATCCAGACCACTGTTAGGCTAGAGAGCATCATGTATTCTATTCCAAGTGTTTGCAATTGTTCTCAGAGAGCCTGAGTCTTAAATGTTATTCTGAGGGCCTCCCCAGTGGGGAGTAGAGTGTGAAATCTTGGTTGTCTCCAGGGAGTGTTCCCAAACTTGGTGTATCTTAGACACCCAGGAGCCAGGATCTGGAGACTTCCTTTCTGTTTTTCTCTCTGGATCCCCAATACTTATGGTGACTTTTCCACATATTACTTTTTTTTTAAGGTAATAAAGTTTTATTTTGTCAAATTCGTTATTACAAATAATTTTGCATGATTTTTAGCAAGTAGAGGGATAGATATTAGTGATTTAACTTTGTAAGGAAGAAACTGCTCTTAAGAGGTCAAGACCTCCCAGAGTCACACAGATGGAGCCATCAGCCCATTTTTTTCTGACTCTGAGGTCAGCATTAACTCTTTTTCTCCTAGTTTCCAGGTAAGAGTTCAAGTGTATTGCTTGGAGTGAAGCGATAAGAAGTTAGTAGTTTTGACAGGACAATATGTTAGAGGTGTGGGAATCTATGTTTCTCATTCTAGGTGTTGGGATTTCACTCTGAAGGAGCCAAAAAGTTTTCACGAACAACCAAGACGTGTGTACCAAGCTCCGGATCTGAGAGGGATGCTGCGAGGGCTTGCTGGTGAGGCGGGGTCAGCCGGCTGGGCGACTGGGGGGCGTTGCAATGGCAGGGACCAAGTGAGGAAGAAACACAGCTTTTAGGTGTGGACAGTGATGCTGGTGGCACTGGACACCGTGGCTGAGGAAATGTCCTGTTGAGTGGGGATCGGCCAGGACTCAGCACTACCCTTATTTACTAGTTTACTCCCTGCCATAGTTTCAGGAACTTCCCTTAATCTGGAGAGGAGATAGAGTTTAGTGCTGTGGCCTTCGCTTAGATTTACCAGTTTAGATTTTTTTTTTAATCATTTCAGACCTGGCGAGTGTGCGATGCTCCTGGGGTAAGGATAAATCTTCGTGTCATCAAACTTCTCTATTCACTTCATCTTTCTGAATTTTTTGATTTCTAATAGAGCTCATATTTTAAAACTCATGTTTCTCATTCTAATACACATGCAGACTGATTCTGCAGTGTTTTATTTCTCCCTAAAACCAAAATTCTTTCCATTTCCTGCTAAGTTATTCTCATGATTCTTCTCACAATGTCATGTATAAAGATACCTCATGTCCCTCACCCAAAACTTTACTTTTTCTGCAGTTGATGTCACCTTGAATCAGACTACCTATAAACACACTGTTGAGATTTCTGCAAATAAGAGAGAAGTGAGAAATTTGTGTGACAACTATCCAGTTACAAAATATCCGAATTACTATTATGATTATTCTGTCCTGGGATCACCAGTTTTCACAAATGGGAAACATTACTGGGAGGTAGATGTATCCAAAAAAAGTTCCTGGATTCTGGGGGTGTGTGGGGAAAACCATTGTCAAAGAATTGTAGAGAAGTTTGCCTTGAGAGTTGATAAACTCACTTTTAAACAAGATTTTTATGCTGGATTACAGCCTGCATGTAACATGTGGGCTATAGGGTTACAGAATCGATCAGAGTATCTTGCTTTTGAGGAAATTTACTCCCATTATCCCAAAATTTTGTCTTTTTCCATGACCGTCCCTCCCAGTCGTGTTGGGGTTTTCCTTGACTATGAGGCGGGCACTGTCTCCTTTTACAATGTCACAAACCACGGGTCACGCATCTATGAATACTCCAAGTGTTGCTTTCCTAAGAGAATTTGTCCATATTTGAATCCTCTGAATTGTACATTCCCCATGACTATTTGTGAACGAGGCCCTTGAGCCTTCTTGAGCCCTCATGCACTTCCCTGGAGTGCCTTTTGCCTTGGGGGCATCTAAGGCACTGGGCTTATTTCCAGCATTCTGACACCTTTTCCTTGCTGCCTCCTTTCTTTTGCATTTTGACATCCTTTATTTGTCAACAGGGTGTATCACTTACCCTGTGTCATATTTTTCCTAAATATCATGCACGTTAGGAGAGACTCTTAATTTATTAATTTCTATATTCCCAAGGGAAAATGAGGCCTCCTGACCTCTGTCAAATGTTTGCAATCTCATTTTCTCTGCCACTGACTGAGAAAATGAAGGAGTTAAGTAGAAAATATCATAAATGATATGTACTAAGAGAAGAAGTCGTGTCCAGAGTGTTTATATTCAAGTCCTGTCACTCCACATACCAGCAGTTTAACCTGGAACAACATATATAAAAGCTGTGTTAATTTTCTCTCCTTTTTTAAATTTTTTTTTATTTTATACATTTTTTACATCATTTTTCATTTTTGCACAATGTATGCATTTTCTTCTTGGTTATAGTCTCTATATAATTCCCACCACCATTGTTTGATCCTAACACCTCCATCCCCCCTCTGTAGTGTATCTCTGGTTTATAGTTGCTTGTTGATTTTCTTAAGCTAATCTTGGTTCAAAAAAACAACTGCCCCACATTGTGAGAAATGAAATTGTTACAGAGTGTGACCTTCGTAAAAATGGAGGTTCTGTGTCCCCTGCATCACCTAATGAAGGGCAGAGCTAGTGGGGAGGAGAAGCTGAAGAAAACTGGGAGGAGACCCCCAAAGGGGAGATTGGAGGAAGCACGTGGAGCAGAGACACGTGAAGGAGGCCTGCTCGCTTCTCAGCTTTGGACTTGCACCGTGGACTTGGGGGACATGGAAGGACCCTGGAAACTGAGACACGGAGAGACACTTGGGAGAGGGGTGGGGGGACCTGATTTAGCTATTTTTCTTCCAGACTTGCTCACCACCTGATGCCTATTTTCTGTGGTTTCTTGCCAGAAGGTGCCTTAGACTTCTGGCAAGCTTTTGGGCTTCAGTGGCCTGCTTTGGGCCAATCCTGTTTGACTGGACACTTACCTTCCAGGAGATGAATAACTTGGGGTGTTTTATGGAAAACTGTTAACTCTGTCTTTGCCCTATGCACAGTATCCTATTAATTTTTTTACACTAAGAATGTATTAGTTTTCTTTCAACAGGGTTACTTTAGCTTTATTTTAAGAAATAGAACTTGATTAAACATTACATGCTCTGAATTTCAGCTAATTATGAAATAAATGGTTCTGTATAGCCATCTGGTCTTAAGTTTTTCATTTACCTGCAGTAATTCTATTTCATGGAAATTTTGAATTTGAGCTCTGTTTACCCAGCTGCTGCTTCATTACAAAAGTCAGAAGTACACTTCTGGGATTTAACAGTGGTGTCAATAAGTGTTTGCCCTGGTCAGCCTAACTTTTGCAGTTATGGACAGTATTCCAGAGCTTCAGGCCACGCGCCTGTGCTTCCTGTGATTGGAGGGGAACTTTTTCTGAGATAGATGATGATTTAGGGCTTGCTGGAATCTTGGTATCTTTGGGTATTCTTTTCTCAGCTCATTCCCAACTGAGTTCAGAGCTAGAAATCAAAGTACATTGTTGGTCAGATAGTAACTGCTGCTATCCTGCTTGTCCCCAGGAATTCCCACTTCACCACTTTTGAATGACCTTCGATGACATAGATTCCAAGATGGAAAGTGTGTGTGTGTGTGTGTGTGTGTGTGTGTGTGTGTGTGAACCTATATTTTAGTATGCATTCATGGGTACTGGAAAAAAATTGATCTAAATTTTCCCTTTACTTTTGCCTTTCTTTTATTTTTTTATTTTATAAATATTTTACATCATTTTTCATTTTTTGCACAGTGTATGCATTTTCATCTTTGTTGTAGTCCCCATGCAATTCCCCCCCTTATTTTGACCCTAATCCCTCTTCTCCCGTAATGTGTCTCTGGTTTACAATTACTTGTTGATTTTGATTTTTACTTTATTATAATTAGTCTTTTTTCTGGTCCCTTGTTTAGGTTTTCTATATTCCTGCTATGAGTGAGACCATCCCATATTTTTCTTTTTCTTTCTGGCTTATTTAGCTGAGCATGGTCCCTTCCAGCTCCATGCATGTTGCTGAAAATTGCATGATTTTATCTTTTTTGATTGCTGAGTAATATTCCATTGTGCATATGTACCATTTCTTCTTGATCCAGTCATCTTTTTGGGGGCATTTGTGTTGTTTCCAAAGCTTACCTGTTGTGAATAGTGTTGCTATAAACAGAAGGGTGCAGCAGCCCTTTTGAATTAATGTTTCTGTGTCCTTTGAGTAAATACCTAGGAGTGGAATTGCCAGATCAAGGAAGCTCCATCTTTAGCAGGTTGAGAAATCTCCACATAGCTTTCCATAGTGCTTGGACCAGTTTACACTCCCACCAGCAGTGCAGGAGAGTTCCTTTGGGGCTGATCACAAAAATCTACAAAGAGCTGAGGAGACTCAACAAAAACAAAGTAAATAATCCAGTCAAAAAATGGGCAGAAGAGCTAAAAAGGAACTTTTCCAAAGAGTAAATGCAAATGGCCAACAAATGTTTAGGCTGTGGACAGCTTCATAGCGCAGCGCTCAATCCGCTGCACCACTGTGGAGGCTCAGAAGGCTTCTACTTTTTTTTTTTTTTTTAAGATTTATTTCTTTATTTATACAAGCACTGGGTACAGTCAGAAGCGCGGGAAGGTGAGAGAATTCACCAGAACCAGAGCGGGGAGCAGAGCAGGCAGAAGGACCGAGGTACACTGCTGAGGGGAGCAGCGGGCGGCAGGAGAGGTCTGCGTGCCATGTGGGACCCTCCTCCTGTGGCCGGGGAGCTGCCGGGGATCGAACCGGCGACCGGCGCTGCAGAGGCTGCGGGCAGCTTCACAACCCAGTGCTCAACCGCTGCGCCACCGGGGAGGCCCAGATTCTACATTTTAACAGAAGCTCCTGACCTCAGACTTAGCCCCCTACTGAAAAGATTATAAGACTTTTAATTTGTTTCCAATTACACTCTCTTCTCAGGAAAAGGTCAGGAAACCCTGTGAGTCCCGGGGTCAGAATCTGAAGTGTGCCAATTGTGGACTTGCTGTCTACAAATCAATTGTAGGAATGTCCTCTCTACATCACCTCAGAAACCCCCAGCAATGGTCACACCATCTTCTATTTCTGGGCCAGGACTGTTCTGGGACCTTAATGAGCAGATAAAATATTTACATGGGAAAGTTTGGCTGCACTCAGGCTAATATCAGTACACAAGAAATCTCCCTGCAAGATCATCCATGAACAATGTGGAGGCATCATTGCCTAAAGTTACTGCCTGAACCAAACAGTTATAAAAGCAAATAGGTTTTTCATATAGGAATTTGAGATCTTCGTTGGAAAAAAAAATATGCACTCACTAAATATGGAATTTCAATGGCGTGCTATTTAGCTTGAGGGCAGTTCCATGCAACTCTTCATCCTGACTGCTAATCTTTCATGATGTAGAGACAGGTCAATTTTTAACCCTAGCAGTCTCTCTATACTCCCCACTACTCTTTTGTGAACTCTTATTTGTCTCCCTATGGTGGGAAATAGGATGATTGCTTTCCCCCTTAGTGTTGCTCTGTCACTAAAACTATACATATTTTCTTGGTATCTGAAAGTAGAGAGTGCCTATGAAACATTTAGTAAGCCAAATGGGCTAAAGCAAATCGCAATTTAATTTATAAATATAGAATATGTTTTGAGTATTCCCAGACCCTACAATACCTTACCACATCATGGAAAACAATAAAAAACTCAGCAATAGCAGGAGTAATATGATAACTACATGACCTTTATGATGAAGAATAGTGTGTGAACTGTGTAGTTTCACTTAGAGTCAGGAAGGCAGTGAGCACACTGGAAGGCTGAGTCACTAGAGGGTGGGGTGGTGGCATGTACAAGAGATTGTGTGTAGGAGAAGACCAGGGCCCAATATTGACAATGCGTTTGAATCCATCAGAGTAGGCAGGTCACTAACATCTATACCTTCTTTTGTGTCTGCCTGTCTTGAGGTGATAGGTAGCTTTATCATCTTCTGTGCCTGATGTGGAAGGTTTGAAATAGGACAGAACGTTCACTACTTAGCTTCTCACCTTTTTCTATTATACAGCTCTTTATAAGCACTCAAATCTTCCTACAAACCTCCCCTAAAATCTCTATATAGGCTCATTGCAAAACAAGCAACGAACATAATTTTTGCTTTTTCACTTTTACAATAATATATTACTAAGGTAATCTTTCATAGGATAAAATGACATAGCTACAACTTTTCAAAAGTCTAGGCTAACTATAGGCAGATTACCCTGTTTTTGAAGGTTCGCTGTCTTTTTTTCTTGAAAGCCTTCGGTTGATTGAATTCAGTTCACCACCAATAGGGGGAGTAATCTTCATTTAGTCTACTGGGATAATGTTCCTCTCATCTAGAACACGCCATTACAGAAACAATGAGAATAGTGTTTTGTCAAATATCTAGATATCGTTGCCTAGCCAATAATATTAATCACCACAGCCACAGGCATTGAGTAACTTCTGAGTAAACCATAGGAACAAAGATATGAAACACTGTTGGCTAAATTTTTTCAAAGGCATTTTGATAAATGTTAATATACCAGAATTGCATTATGTGCTACAGCAATTACGTTGACTGCTACAAAAGAATAGAACCATGGTTATCATTGGTATGTTCAGTGTAATTAAAACATGTCTAGCTATGTGGATGCATAGCTATACATGGCCTATGTGGAGTGCCTATGTCACTCCTTATATTATACCTTTGATCATTGATCTGAATAAGAAAAAAGTAACATAGAAAAGATTCTTTCGTAAAACATACCATTACTGGGTGAAGACTGCTTGAGAAGGGACACTCCAAAAGAATATTATGTGACACCAAAAGAGAGGAAATAAATGCCAGCTCCCAGAATGCAATTCATGCAAAATTTAGATGATACCATTATACTCGAGAGACATCCCAAGTTCATTTGTTTTCAGAACAAACTTCATTCATATTGAGACTCTAAAACTGTGAATGTGCTCAGTGGTTATGCTTCAGTGATTTTCAATTCCTGACTCATAGATAGAAGGGAGTAGAAAAGTTTCTGAGCTAAGAGAGCTTACTCTCTTGTGGGAGCAAATAATACAGAAATATCTGTGATTTAACTAAAAATGGACTTGTCAGCTGCTCAACAAGTCTCACATCACTGGATGTGTGAAGATTGCCAAGCTCTGCATTCCTGGCACCGTGGACCCTGTGATGGAAGCTTCCACCATCTTTCAGCTAGCACATGTAGTCAGAGCATGAACAAGACAGACAAAATGAATTGCAGGAAAGAATGTAGCTTGATATCACTGAGACTTTAACCTCTGTGCCCCCAGGAAGACCCCTAGATCTCATGTTTTAAAATTCATGTTTCCCCTTCCAGTGCATATAGACATACAACGTGTCTGCATTATTGTGTCTCCCCCAAAATTCAGAACAAAATTCTCCCCAGTTCCCACTCATGTTATTCTCAAAATCCTCAATATTCACTTTTAAATCTTCATTCCTCATCTAACTGTATACTCTTTCTGCAGTTGACATGATCCTGATTCATCTCAAAATCAATTTCAATGCTGAAATTTCTGAAGATGGGAGACAAGTGATATAGGCCTTGAATTGGTATCAAAATATTGCACATTGATTTGGTATTTGTGAGGATTTTGCTGTCCTAGGGTCTAAAAATTTTGCAGCAGGGAAACATTACTGTGAGATATATGCCTGGATCCTGGGGGGGTGTGAGAGAAGAAGACGTATATTCAGCCAAATGTTTAGTACGAAAAGTGAGCTTACTAATAACAAGTATGGTCACTCTAGGTATCAACCTGTGAATGGTACTGGGTTACTTAACCTAAATATCATGCTTTTGAGGACTCTCCCATACTCCAACCCAACATCTTGACTCTTGGCGAGGCTGTTCCTCCCCATCATGTTAGGATTTTCCTGGACTACGAGGCAGGTACTGTCTCCTTTTACAGTGTCAGAAGTGGGTTTCTTATATACAAATTCTCTTCATGTTCCTTTTCTTTCTTTTTTTTTTAAAGATTTGTTTATTTATTTATTTATACAAGCACTGGGTACAGACAGACGCGCGGGAGGGTGAGAGAATTCACCAGAGCCAGAGCGGGGAGCAGAGCAGGTAGAAGGACCAAGGTACACTGCTGAGGGGA